GCTCCTAATAGCGCAGCGATGCCCTTTGTTCCTAGTAGTAGTGCCAGGGCACTGGTGCACATCCAGGCCCAACGAGCCAGCAAAGGAACGGGTGCGCTTCGCCAAGCCCGAGGACGAGGCCAGCGACGGATTTGCCTATGTGTTTTCTCCACTCGCAGGTCCGGAAGTCTTGCTTCAGGAAGGCATATTTGGAGGTATGTAGTAGTAACAAGGTGCATTTCTACTAGGAACCAGAAGCTACTGGTAGCTCCTGGCACTACTACCAGTAACAAGGACATCGCTACTAGTAACAAGGGCATCGCTACTAGTAGCAAGGACGCTACTAGTAGTTACAATGTAGTTCTTGAGGAGTGCGTTTCTTTTGAAAATGAAAGGCCTGGAACCCGAGTGACAGGACTAGCAACAGCAGCACAGCCGCTGCAGCGCTGCCGCTGCCTGAGAAATTCAACTTGCAGACGCAAGGGCCATGGAGGGTCAGGATCCGTGTTGCTTGCTTTATTGTATGAATTCACTTTCACTCACTGCAGTTGAATAAACAAGGCCTGGATGGGAAAGATCGAGCACCAGCAATCATTGAGTTAAAATGTTCGAAGAGCGTTCCGTGGCCTTGATCCTACCCCCTTCTTGCACATGTAAATGTCTTCCGCACACGCAAGTGTATGCTGGTCATGAGCAAACTGCTCCCTTGGCAAACCAAAGGTTGCCAAACAACACTTACAGTGGCTTTGATATGGTCGCATTTGCTGAAGCTTCTAATTCTTCACTGGTTCTTTTCAGTTTGTGTTGTTGCATTTGACGCGCAGAGACCATTTTTCGTTGACAATCCCTGTGGATCACCTGCAGAGAAAAGAAGCCTGCCGGAGATCTGTAGGTGTCTTGAGATCTTAAAGAATAATGTAGATGCAGGGATCTGTAGGTGTCGGGTTGGACGGTTTGAGTCCTTTGCGTAGCTTGTGATTCTCTCGTGGTTCTTTGGAAGATCTCATCACCTCGTTACCAGCCGATTGTCGTAAGTAAGTGCTGTGTAAACAACGACCGCTGGAGTAAAATCTTCTAGTATGACAGCCTTTTACTACCTGCAGCACAAGCAAGAGCTCCACTCTTCTCTGGCCTGCGGAGATTTCATCATCCGTGTCTCGATGATTTTGGGAAGTCTGGTTTCCAAGAACCATGGTAGCGATGGTAGAAGTGGTGGCTTGTCAAAATGAGCATGGGCGGCCTATCCTGGTGGTTGATTCCTATGGGATATCATAGTCAATACAAGGGATGATGAGGTTGGAATGATTAAGATCTGATCGTGGTTTAGTAATATATATATATATAACAAATGTATTGTATTGATAGATTTTAATTGATAATGAAATAATAAATAAAATCAAATTTCACAATTATATAATTTGTATGATATTAAATTCTTGAAATAATATATTAATCTATGTTTAAAGGGAAATGTGTTTGGCGTATATGCATTATTATATATAAATAATTGGAATAATTGTATATAAAATATATTTATATATATAAATTAAAAATATATATATATAGTTTTTTTAGAAAATTAAATATTGTAGTTGGAGTGGTTTACATTTACGAAATCGGAACCGAGCAAATGGAATCGATCGAAATCGAAACACGAAGGATATATGGACGTCGCATCGCGGCTAGGCCTTTTGGCAATTCGAGCCCGGAGCGGTGAAGTATGTTTAAACACGGAAAATTTGATTTATAGCGTGTATTATTATATAGGGAAGTATTTTTGTTGGGTGTTAGATATGTCGTGGTATTGGCTAGTTAATGATGAAGATTTTGATGGATATTTTACCCTTGGGATAGAGAGTCTTATCGGATGACGGTAGGTAATTAGTGTAGTATGCGTAGTTACGGATAACTACTAGGTTGTGAGGCGCGATTTGTTCGGCAACGTAACATTTTGTTATGTATTAACACTTACTTTTCTTTGAAACATGAATCTTTTTTAGGAAGGGTACATCGCGGCATTGTGGTTTATTTCTTTCTCGAAGATTTTTAGGAATTTTTTAGCATCTAGCACTAGGCTCGTAGGGCCTCTACTTCTGCCTCTTGCAAAGCCAGGGCTGCTCGGGCTTCTTGAGTAGTTACTAAATTCTTCTTAGGTTTTCGTGCTATTTTAGCCAAGTCTCGCTTTAGGTCTTGGTTGAACTCTCGAAGACGTTGGGGTATGATCTGCCCCTTTTTCTGTACGGCCGCGTCGGCTAGCTGTGGCTTGGTAGGTGAAATTGTCTAGCGTCTCATTATGAAGACGTTGGCCATAGCAAGCATATGGCGTGTCGCTAGCACCAAAGTCCAAAAGGATAGGTAGTCCGGCTTTTCGGTGGGCTTCTTTATCGGTACTTTGGGGCATGTGTTTTCTACCCTCGCAATAAAAACCATGAAAAACATAACATTCTTTAAGCTACTTAGGTCCATGGGGTGCATGCGGGAAGCGACATGGCTGGAATTGAGGATATATATAAGCGGCTTGACGCAAACTTACACAGCTCTTGGTTATACTCTGCTTGTTGCTTATTTATACTCTGCTTATTGCTTATTCTGTGATACGTGGGGTTCGGCAGCCATTTTATGCTTAGTTAGCGGGTGTTCATCTTCTATGTTCCACTCTTTTCGCATGGCCTCTTGGCCTGGTGGTTGCTCGAAGTTCGTGATGGATTCTTTGATGGCCTCGATGCGCTGAGCTTTGGTCTTCTTCTTGGCTGCCGTGTAGGATGGATCCTACGTCAGCTTGAGGCGACCATGGCGTAGTCGCGACGCCAGCAAAGAGCGAGCGTTCTCCTTCGTTAAGCCGTCGGCGATCTGCCGTTCAGAACTTATCTATCCATCGAAAATTGCCTCCAAGGCATTCCATTCTTTCCTGCATGACCCTGATTTCCAGGCTTACTCTCTTGTCGATGACCGAGGAGCTGATGACCGAGGAGCTGATTCCTTCTCGATGGTAGGAATTATACAGGGCCTTGGCATCTGTCACCAAGACCGGCTTTAGGGTGGATTTCGCCTCGATGAGGTCTTGGAGCCGGAGTTTCGGCTGGAGGAGGTGTTGCCAGAAGCGACATGTGAAGTCGACGGAGTCGGCTGCTTGTCCTCCTGCTTGAGCTTCTGCACCCAGTGAGCTTCTCGCCACTCTTGGCGTCTTGAGGCTTCTCCACTCGATTACGTGGTACTTACCTTCCTTAGAGGAG